CCAAAACCCCAAAACCCCAAAACCCCAAAACCCCAAAACCCCGTCCCACCGCTCACTAATTGAATTAACGATATTTATAAAATATTTGGGATGTTATAAGTTGTCTTCAGTCTCAAGAGTTATAATTTCATCTTTCTTTGTAAAATAATCCAAAGAAGCCAGAATATCTTCTGATTGTCAATGCTTACTTTTGTATAAAGCATTTAGTCAAGATTTATGGAGAATAAAATTAAGTTTAATTAATTTTCTCACGAATAGTCATAAAAACCTTCAAACATTATTTTCACATCTCCCAGGCTCTAAAATTTGCCTTATAGAACAAAGATTTGCATTTAAATTTATTTGTGGTATTTCCTGGCTACAGTCTGGACGTCTTGATCCATGAGGGTTGGATGATTTTTACACACTAAATCTAAAAACATGTAAAAAGCCTGCCTTGTATTTGGAATTTATTAACTGGAATACAAACTAAATGGTCTGGAGAATTGAGCTCCTTTCGCCTATATCTTTGTTTTGAGATTAAAACAAGTCCTGTCTTGGCTCAAACAGAGATCAATTAAATTTGCATCCAAATAAGTTTTAGTGAACTCCCTCCTTGCCAAATTGTGATCCAGACATAGGACATGCTGAGTCATTAAGTTACCCCAATAGGATCAGTAGAGGGGATCTTTAGAGCAAGATTTCATCAAAAGTGTTCTTTCAGTGATCCTGTTCTCCTTGGGAATTGAAAGAAGAAAAGTTTTTGGGTAAATGCAATTTTTATGGTTACTATTGCTGACATTATAATTCATAGATAAGAATTTTTATGTCCAGGGTTAGAAATATCTTAGCCAATAATGGCTACAAGTTAGGGCTTCCAAAAGAGGCCTTTGTCATCTTCACAAGGGTTTATTTCTAAAAATATAGACTTACGTTTAAACTTAGCTGATTAAATATTATTTGGGACTCATCGCTAAAGGATTTTCAAAATTTAGGTATAAAATCTCCGAAGATCTTTCCATATGATAATTAACAAGCTCTTCAGATGAGTTAGGGCTTGTGATTAGCTTGAGGATTGCTAGCTTCTCTAAACTTTAATCGTTATAATTCTTCACTGAATCCTTTGAAGATGCAGAAATGCTTTTAGTGTTTGGTAATTTTGGAAGGAGCCATTGTAAGAACTTAATTTTTGCTTTATTCTTTGCTCTTTTAATCCTCCCTTATACTCTTCCAATAAAAATAAGTGGAAGGTGGGCAGAAGATCTTCCTGAAGCAAAATGACTAAAATTATTCCCACATTCTCACTATAAACTCAATAGGCGTGTTTTATAGACTCAATTAATTTCTTCCATGGAACCCTTCATGTTATTAACTGTTTAAGAGGGCCAAATTTTATCTTTGATAGGTAGGTGTGTGGTAAATTTTAAGAGTTAATACTCTTTCGAGTAATTTTGTTTCAATAGCATATCAACCATCAATAAAATAACACTTTGTTATTATCGTATCATTTTATTCCCACATTGATTTTTTGTGGCAGATCAGCAACCCTGAATTGTTTGTCCAGATATCATGCATATCTTCATAATTTCCAGTGACAAAGAGTCGTTATTTGTAAATTCAGGAGTTCGAAGAGAGTATTATTAAAAGTTAATGATTTTTATGGTTCCAGCCCTTCTTATCTTATCAGCTATTTATGGTTCAAACAATCAAGAATTTTCTGTAGTTTAGCCAAAATTTAAGCTTCTATAAAATCTTTATTGTGTGTAAAAATTTGACTGTGACAATTTGAGAAAGGTATTTATTGTCAAACTTTTCTCATAAAATTAAAGAAATTAAACGATGAATGCTCTCACCGCAAACATCCTGATGTTTCAGCCTTTAGGTGCTCAAATGGGCTGGGTTTTACTCCCTACTATTCCTCAATTGATCCCAATCGTTCAGGTGGCCCAAATGATTCCAGATATTAGCGCCTATTGCCAATGAAGCTTTATGGATCCTGAATGAGCTTCTTCAAGGGTTCCATTCGACAAGAGAGCTGATAAACCTAAGGAAGAATTTACTCCTTCAGAAAGGTGCACTGCAAAAAACTCCAAAGAAGTAGCTTTAGAAACTATTAACTCTGACACTAAGATCAGCAAACTTGATCTTGTTGCTATATAACAAGAAAGCATAAGGCAAGGGGAAAGATCCTCCAAAGACTTTCTTCACTATGATCAGGTAATTACCTTGCATATACTCTGTTTGAACATAAGCTTGATAATACTCTATGCATGGGCTTTATACTTGCTCTTTGTTGCTTCTTCAACCTTTGATAAATTTAGGCTCTAAAATCCTCAGAGAGATAGAGAACATTCCAGACTCAGATGAGTTTATAATTAGAGCCACTTCTAAGTCCCAAGCGAGTGAAGGTGCTAATCAGGCCATGAGATCAAGGTACATCGGAGTCTGTCATAAGAATGGGATGTACAACTCTTATATTGTGGCCAACGGGAAGAAGACCTACATCTGAGGAACCAGAGACGAAGAACTGAGCGCCAGATATTATGACTACTGTGCAATTTTATTGCATGGTAGACTGGCTACCACTAACTTCTCATACACAAAGAGACAGTTGGTAGAAATTCTCACTTCAGTCGGAACTTGTTCCGAATCCTAAGCCATACATCCTCTAAGTTTTGAGTAAGAGTCTTGCTTGGCTGTTGTTAATCCTTGTCAAAATTGACAAAGAAGCTACTAAAAGCATTCAAAAACAAGACTTCATTGGTCTTAGCAATGCCTTGCACCTTAGAGACTCGATTAGAGAAGGCCTAAATCTTATTCATCTCTAACAGTATTTTCAAAAGTCTTTTATTTCATCAAGAGCTTAATAATACTAATAATATGATTAAGTTCAATGATGGCCATTGGTGTGGGGTTTTGGGGTTTTGGGGTTTTGGGGTTTTGGGG